GTTCTTGCCAAGCCAATCCCTTCCTCGTCATAGAGCCATAGTGCCGCTGCTTATGAGGGCAAACTTCTTCACTCGTGCTCGAACCCTTTTCTCATATTCCACTCTGTTTTGGCAGTAAATTGTGTAGGCCTCTGTTTGAGCTGGGTCTTGAATATTTGGCTCATTTAGAAGTTCTTGTATTCCTAATAAGATCTGTTTGATAGTGATAGCTGGCCTCCAGTCCTTGTCTTCCTCCAGGATGGACAGGCACACTGTGCCAGAAGGATACACATTTGGGTGAAACAGTGGTGGCTCAAATTTACATTTTGGTGGTGAGGACAGATAGTCATCTTTGAAAAGCATCTGTAGTTTGAACAATCCTCCTTTCCATGGACCCTTCTTTCCAGGGATAGCGCACTCCCAATTCATCAGGTTCATCATGCCATCGGGGTTTTTTGTTGGGACAGCCACAAAGCCAAAAGGGTGGTCCTTCCTCCAAGCTTTCCTTTCCTGGGCAAGTCGGCTGAGGGCAATCCCCCACATATTCAAAGTCCCTGGGCCACCGCGGCCCAGACCGTCGCGGCGGCAAAGGCGGTGGTGCTCCTTTTCTACGTGTCCTTTCTGTATAACAAATTAATTACCATGAGTGCCATGTATTTCTATTTAATATTTTGATGAAGAATGTAATCAGTATAAATTTTCAGTGTCATTTGTTGTTTAAAATAAGGTGATGTCAAGATGATGACTATTTTATGCTACTGTTAACTAAGCTCCAATGTGTCAGTGTTTATTTCATTGTATAAATGTTTAGCTGTACAGGAAATAGCTAAAAATCTTAAAAATGTGTCTTTTCAGTTTGAATAATCATAGTGTAAATAATTAAAATGGATGAAAAGAACAGTGCCGTATGTACATGGAAAAGCATTCCAAAACAAATCCAGCAGTGTTCCAGAATAGATAGCTATCATTTGATTTCCCTCATTGGCTTACTAGGCTTATGTGATTTATTCTTGATTCATATGTAAGCAGTGTGCTTCTGTATTCATTTGCTTCTGACTAGAAGTGTCTTAGCAATCCTGATGTAGTCCTGTATTTTAGTTCATGGATGTCTGCTTTTGGCCATAATGCTGAAAACTTGACTCTTAAGTCTATTCCAGTGAAGAGTGCTTTAGTTTATAGTATTGATCTTTGGGATAGTAGGGAAAGAGATCGAAAGCCACCTGGTTCGACCAAACTAAAAGTTCCCTAGTTTATGTCTGGAGACAACCATGTTAAATAGAAGAGGATACCATTCTCTGTTGGGTTGTAGTATTTGACAGTGTTTCTTCAAGGACAAGAATATATTGCAAAATTGAGGACAATGGTAAATCTACTTCAAAGAGTAACATAGGGGGCCAGGATATGCTGCAGCTTTGTAAAAGAATACTTGCCTAGCATGTGTGAGGTCTTGGGTTCATTCAGTCTCTACATACACAAAAGGAACATAAGGGAGAGCAAATTTACTTCTTTAGTTGCATGGTTTGTACCATTTCATGTGATTAATACATAATACCATTCTGGTATTATTAAGCTAATAAAGGAATAGGTGTTATTCTTTTGTTTAAAAAGAATAGAAATGCTGAGACATGAGACATATTGACTATAAGTTTATTATAAGGCCCAGGGAAGAGGAGGAGAAGGAAGAGGAGGAGGAGGAGGAGGAGGAGGAGGAAGAGGAGGGGAGAGAGAGGGACAGAGAGACAGAGAGAGAGAGAGCGGGAACAGAGTGGGACAGAGAATTAGAGGAACAGAGAGAGAGAGAGAGAGAGCATAAAGGGACAGGGACTTGTCTTTTAAAGGGGTCCTCTGCACCTGTGTGCAGAGTTAGTTCCCATGGAACCTTGGGCTGACCAGGGTACTGCCTGTTCCACCAGGTAACAGGGGCAGGCCAGCATAATGCCTGAACCTTTCAATAGGGAATATATCAAACATACCTGATTAGTTCCAGCTTCTCTCCTGTTTGTGAGTTGTACATCTTATTGTAGAGACTAAAATACTAAGCACTTAGTTGTAGTTTTTTTTTTTTAAATTTTTACTCTTTTTGGCTCTTTGCTCTTGGGGGGGGGGGTCCAACACCCAGCTTCCAAATAAACACACACACACACACACACACACACACACACACACACACAGACTTATTCTTACTTATGAATGCCCCACCTTAGCTTGGCTTGTGTCTAGCCAGCCTTTCTTAACTTAAATTATCCCATTTACCTTTTGCATCTGGGCTTTTATCTTTCTCTATTTCTGTATTTCTTTCTTTGCTTCTAACTCTGAGGCTTTCTGTGTAGCTGGGTGGCTAGCCCTTGGAGTTCTCCTCTCCTCCTTTTCTCCCTCTTGAGCTTTCTCTTCCCAAGATGTCTCCTCCTATTTATTCTCTCTACCTTGCAGACACACCTATCCCTTTCCTGCCTAACTATTGGCCATTAAGTTCTTTATTAGACCAATCAGGTGTTTTTAGACAGGCAAAGTAACACAGCTTCACAGTTAAACAAATACAATGTAAAAGAATGCAACACATCTTTGCATCATTAAACAAATATTCCACAGCGTGAACAAATGTAATACATCTTAAAATAATATTCCAAAAAATAATATTCCACAACACCTAGTAATTTATTCATCCAGGAAGGAAGCCTCAAAGACAGCTGGCATATAAAAACACATTCACAATTACATCTTCCTAAATTCTGCAATTGATCTTGGACATTGAGAGTTTTTTATTTTTTTTTGTAGTATTTGGATAGAATCCTGGGCAACATGCATGATAGGCAAGTGTTCTACTGCTGAGCAACACCACTAGCCAGGAACTGATCTTGGGAAAGCAACATAAAATAGTTTTCAGAAGAGAACAGTCACCACCATGAGAAACATAGATGCCTGGAAACAAAGAATAGCTGCAGCTACAGTAACTATTAATAAGTTAATAAGTAACTATAATAATGACACCCTATTATTAGGTAAATGTAACTAAAGGGGTAATTATAGGAACTTCAATTATTTCTGCAATGAGGGGCCTGGGCTCCTGTTTTTTGTTTGTTTGTTTTAAATAACCAAAGGTATGAAAATGTTTGCAGAAAGACCACAAACTTACTCCTATTTGGTCAGATTACACAGAATTTGCCATATCTTGTTGATAACAAAGTGAACATCATAGGACTGCTTTCTCTTTCTTTATTCCTTTAATTTTTTAGATGTGATTTTTTTTTATTGTAAAACAATCTTTTCTAGTCCTTTAATTTTTTTATTCATTTGGGGGATAAGTTGGACTTGGTGGTCCAGACTGCCTGGAACTCAACACTAGCCCAGGCTGGCACCCAGCATGGCACTCCTCTTGCCTCAACCTCAACCTAGGATTACAGTGCATGTGCTACCATGCAAAGTTTTGTCATTTTAATACAGAGAAAAAATCCTACTTTTTTATTAATGTAGCAATTAACAATATAGCAATTGACAATAAAGAATTCACTTCCTTTAAAGAATTTATTTATTTATTTATTTATTTATTTATTTAATTTTGAGACAGAGTCTTTCTGTCAGAGTCCTTGCTGTCTGGGAACTCACTATGTAGACCAGGCTGGCCTTGAACTCACAAAAATCTTCCTCTGTTGGCATTAAAGGTGTGCACCACTAGGCCCAACAAAAAATCTTACAAAGCTAATTAGTAAAAATACTAACATATTTCTTTGTTTCATTCCAGTTTCCGAGTCTGCAGGGGGCTGTAAACCAACATGAGCAGAATCTTCTTTTTCTCAAGCTTCTACAACTCATTCATTCAGTTTTTGTCTTTTACTTATTGTTCACATTCTGGCAAATTGATGGTTTCATTGATAAATCAAACCATTCTCATCACATTTACAAATGTGGTATTCATGTTTCCATTCTTGGTTTGGTTCAATGATCTATATAAAGCACAAAACCAGTCTCTAGCTCCTGTGTCCTCACAGAGCTAACTCTGGGCAAGCAATGAGTATGAAATATGGAAGCATTTAGCTGGCCAGCAAATGTTAAAAGCAAGTGTAATAAAACTTCCTATGGTGACATGTTCCTTCTGCATTTTATGAGGTGGTAAATGGAACAGATACAATGAAAAAACTCAAAGATTTGTCAAGCATACAAAAACAGTATACAAAGGTGTGTGTGTGTGTATGTGTATGCGCTCGAATGTACTTTGCTTGTTGAACAATGTTTTTGCATTTTAGTTTCCGAAGAAATAAATGAGTGAGAAATAAATGATATCAGTTTGTGAAACCACGAAGACCATAAAACAAGATGACGTGACAATTAAGGATAGTATTCCATTGTGAAGACTGCATTTGACCTATTTCTTAGCAAGATACATGTAAAGAGTTTGTCTTCTTTATGCCTAGAATGTTGGGATATGAAGGATTTTTTTTTTTTTTTTGAGACGGGGTTTCTTTGTATTGCTTTGGAGGTTGTCCTGGAACTTGCTCTGTAGACCAGGCTGGCCTTGAACCCAGATATCTGCCTGCCTCTGCCTCCTGAGTACTGGGATTAAAGGCATGCACCACCAATGCCCAGCTGAGATAATCAAGTTTTTTTTTTTTTTTTTTTTTTTTTTTTTTTTTTTTTTTTTGAACGGGGTTTTTTTTGGGTTTTTGTTGGAGGCTGTCCTGGAACTAGCTCTTGTAGACCAGACTTGTCTCGAACTCACAGAGATCCGCCTGCCTCTGCCTCCCAAGTGCTGGGATTAAAGACGTGCACCACCACCGCCCGGCGATAATCAAGTTTTAAGTAAAGAAATTCATGAATGGAATCTATATTCATAATCGTATCGGACAGGATGGATGGGTGATTCTCATTTTACTACTTTACAAGTGAAAAAAGCAAGACATTTATGATCCTTTAGCTAATGAGTGACATACTCAGAAATTGAGTTTTCTCATTTCCAACCCCATGTACCTTGTTATCCCCATAATTGAATATTCATGTGTATATAAGGGAAAAGACAAAGTGTTATGTGGATATGGTTCAAATCCAGTCCAGCTAGGCAACAGACAATGCCATATGCTTCTGGCAGGGAATTCAAGACTTACTCTTTTTTGACCTCCTGTTTGGGTCTCAGAGCAGACAAACATTAAAGATCCTTATACCCTGCTAAATGGAAAAGACACCATCTGATTGCTGGCTTCAGCCCTCTCAAAGAGTGACGCTAACAGTCATGGCAGGACATGTTCAGTTACTAGTGGCCCTGAAGGGGCCTGAAGGGTCATCCCATCCTGTTCCATTCTGTACTATGATTCCCTTTAACACTTCGAATTGGATTGTACTCTTAGAATTTCCCTCTAGTTTCTTTCATGCTAATCCCCTTCATTCCCATGGCCCTGGCTCTAAAACTTCTGGTAATGACTTGTCATTTCTGCTGACCTCATCTCTGAGTGGGAGGAAACTCCCCCCCACCTCTGTGTGTGTGTGTGTGTGTGTGTGTGTGTGTGTGTTGGGGAGATAAAAGGCAAGGCTTACACCAGATCAAATGTCAGCCTGGGCAAGGCTTACACCAGATCAAATATCAGCCTGGGCAGGGCAGCATGGCTGCTATATGCATTAGAAAAAGGAAGAAACACAACTTTTCCAGGCACTGGTGGCCTC